CAACAAAGTTGTTACAAGTTATAGCGTTGCTAAAAGCTTGTTTCAAACTTGTTGACAACTTCGTACAAGCAGTGCGAGCACAATTTGTTGACAGACTTGAGATTTTTACAATTTTACGCGTGTATAAAGACTATAAATGACAAATGTAGATGATGGCTTAATAAAGCCATGATTGATTTTCCGTGATTGGTTTATCGTAAAATATGCTACATATATATACTATATAAAATAAATAATGACGCAAAACTTGGCTGGATGCCTGGATATACTATAAAACCAAAAGTTGCGGACATCGAAAGCGTAAAAAAATGTTGTATAAAACTTGCAATCCTTATAATACAGTTTGAACCATTACATTCTTTACCAACCAACGAATAATTTGGTGCTGCCCAACATTCTAAAGAAACAAGAGCGAATAATTATAGAGAATAAATAAATCGAATGAATCAGCGAGGACTGCATGCAATGTCTTTAGATCACTTTGTTGGAAATTTCTTGTGTAAACTTTTAAAATTCATCAACTTTTTTATCGTGTTGCCCATAAAACGCAACTGATGAGCAATTTAAGTTCCAATATAATATGACCCTAGACTATTTGAAGAATTATACATTTGGCGTACGTAGTACTAGTATTAGTACGTACCATTATATTCATGAATTGCCTCAACATTATTATTTATTGAATTTATATAGGTTTTCATGAAGGAATCAAATCGAAGATATAAACTGATATACCTATATATACTTCACACATAGGCTGTGGACGAGTTTTATTGGGGGGGGGCTAAAATTTAACTACGAACTGTCTATGATGAAGCTAGCCTGTTTAAACTGTTTCATACTGCAACTGTATCGGAACATATACATATCTTTATTATCAATGTAAAATGAGCTTTACATAAGCGGTAGAAGAACTAAATAATAAACTATATTCAGGCTGAGAATAAGGGATATTTCCAGTATGACCTCTATTTTTTTTAAACTTACATGATAAAAAACCAGGTCGATGTAACAGCCGTCGTACAACCACGGCAGGTAAATTTTGGTCGTGGACAATCTGAAAGAGAAAATTATTCCACATGTGGCATGCAGATATATACACAAATAACAAGGAGAGAGTAATGTAAGATTGAAGACCTCTCCCTGGAAGTACATCAATTATTTTTGAACTGCCTAAATAACGAAGGACGCAGCTCAACCTGATTGAGTCGAAGGCTTACTGCCTGATCACACTGACAGAGCACAGCTACGAGGGAAGGTTAGTTTGGGGCTAATCCCAACCCACCCTGTCAACATTCATTGTGGGAGGAAACCCCCCCCCCCTCACTCAACCACTTTGCCCCTCCCCCAGTCAAAGTCCCTTTTCTCTGAAATACAAGGGAAACATTGGAAGGAAAATTGAATTTGGAAGGGAGGCTTGATATTTTAGTAACTCAGGGTTCGTAGTCTCCAAGACCAAAAAATTTCAAAGAGTTTTTCTGCCTATTGTCAAAGACTTTTCAAAGACCTTTGAGAACAATCAGGTGTCGAAAAATTGCGATGTATAAGCACCATTTTTACCAGGTAATTAGTCCCGTCAAATCACATCCTAAAATGCACTTTTTCGTCGATGTTTGCGAAAATCTTGCTTCAATCAATCTATTTTATTAGCCAGGAAATCGTATAATCAAATAATCACTAAAGAATTTAAAGACTTTTAAAGACTTTCTTCGCTTTTTCACACACTTCAAAGACTTAACCTTAAAGACCTGCATTCAAATTTAAAGACTTTCAAGGATTTCAAAGACCGCTACGAACCCTGTAACTAAACCTTGCTTTGTGAATCTTATGTCCTGTCTTTTATCTTCAAATGATTCAATGACTTAATTTTAAAAATGCTAAACATTGTGTTGTAAATACCTTAGATTCTAAAAAATGTCCAAGTGTATAGCATATCCCAGACCCTATAGATTTGAGTTGTTGGAAAGCTAGGCTAAATAAGTTGGTGACCGAGTTGTGGTATCATTTACATAAACATACCATGCAAGTACTTAACGTACTGAAGATTCAGGGGCATCGGAAGCGGGGGGGGGGCTGCCCCCCTCCACTTTTTTAGTTGCATGGGAGGGTCCTAAATGTCTTTGGGCCTCCTACTTTTTAACCGAATGGTCAATAATAAACCACAAAATTAATGATATTATTTCGATCAGTTATGGGTGTGGACATAATAGTTTGAGATATTTATGACATTTTGTTACTTTTAGAACTCCGTAAATCTCCGTCTAAAGTGCAGGAAATGGCATTTCAGACACTCTAATTTTAAATTTTTTTCCGGGGGGCATGCCTCCGAACCCCCTGGATTGTCACCTGCCTTCGGCGACCGCTAAGTGTACCTCCCTCCACTAATTTTCGAGCTGCTCCGACGCCCCTGTGAAGATTCATTCTATCTACAGTATAATATAACGCTGCTACCCAAAAATCTGTTTCAGAAAACACACGAAATGCAGTCCCCCCTAGGGGTGGAAAAATACGAACTTTTTCTGGGGGAAAATAACCCCTACTATAACATATGACACCACACCAAACTTTTTGTCACCAACAACTATCTGTCATCTCTCCACACTCAGTTTAGTATGGTCCCTTTCTCTAGTTGCCCCCCCCCCCCTACGGACAAATTCTTAAAAAAGACCCTGTGTCTCGGCTTGCGCTGTGAAGAGAGGGATAATCTCGTTGACCCTTGGCAAATAATATACAATGTATTTGATTAATTTTCCTAAAATTATAATTATTTCTCAACAATGTGCAACAATGATAACATTTCAAAATTTTCTAATGTTCCCCCACAATGTATGTCAAGACTATATATAGCTGCAAGCATGCACTAGTTCTGGGTCGGATACCATGCCAGATTTTTAATTCGATACAGATTAATTTGAAGATTAGTAGCCATCGGCACCAGTAACCTATTTCCGAGTTTTGAGACCAAAAATATAAGCGCAAAATACCAGAAGTGAGTATCGGTCACTTCCGACACTTGTTTGTCAGCGGGAAAATATTAGTTTTCATTACTGGGTGATTCAATCCAAAAGCCCAAAATGCAATAAATACTTTCTACACCTGACTTGGCACATAGAGTACTCAATATTGCCCAGCACTATCATTCACAGTGGTCTATAATTGTTCTCATTATAGTGTTAAAAACGTAGTTAAAAGAGTCTCATACAACCGCCCAGTCGCCCACATCTACAACTACATACTGACGATGGCTATATGATGATAACGTCATCGAAAATAGGAGTTTGCTTGTGAGTTGTGGGCTGTCTCTTTAAATGTACAATAAACCAACCTGATGTATAGGGACAGCAAAGCCCTTCGAGAATTCCCTGAAACGTCTCGCTTGAATTCGTTGCCACAGCAGAAGATATATCATCATACCTAGCTCTGAACGGACCAACATCCAAGAAAAATATCTTCTCATCTCCGACAAAAACGTCAGACTGACAAGACGCCGAGTTTGCGAAGCCCGCAACTACAATTAGAGTTTCGTTCAATTTCCCCTTGTAAACTTGGATGACATTCAGTGTTGCATTATATTCCCATTGGTGTATCGTTCGGTTGGCTGTTGCCACGACTTTGGCATGCAACACCAGCGGTGCCAGTTTGGTTAATTCCGCAATCGACTTCCATTTGTGACCCTCAGCCGGGCTACATGACTCACAAAAACCAGTAAACGTGAATATTGTAGCCAAAGTAACGATGAGTAATCTCATGACTGTTCGATGTTTACATGTAGAAAGTAGCAAGACTTATTGTTGTTATACTGTATGAGACACTGTATTAGTACTTTTTTATACACGCCCTCAAATTAAAGATAGAGGAGAGTTCTAGTGCATTTGGAACACTGTTCTAGAACGATACGAAATGAGTGCATACGGTGTTCTGAAACAATGTTTAGTTTATTGTATATGCGTGCAACCATGCATTACTATATCATTAGTTATTCGCATAATAAATCGTATAATGATTTCCTGTTATTTGTACATCTAAGTATGCTTTTGTAACGTTTTTACTCGTTAATTTTGCCCGGCCCTGGCGTTCAAATAGCATATAATAAGTAATAAATAAATTAAGTATATTAAATATATTTAGTATAATAAATAACGCTCTATGCAGTGTGCATTGGATACACAAAATCTGTCGCCTAGGTAGTCCAAGGTAGGCTAAGGTAGTCTATTGTAGGCTAAGGTAGTCTAGGGTAGCCTAAGGTACCATAAAGGCGTTCGTACTTCGGTTGCTCAAATCAGGGCGTAGTAAAACACGTGTTTCTACTACGCCCTGCTCAAATAAAATTCTGAAGAATCTTACATAAAATTCCAAAAGCCTTTTCATGAAATTCCGAATTCTAACATAAAATTCCGAAGGCCTCAAATAGAAATGTCAAACTCATTAATAATTCATTAGTAAATTAGCCAACCACATTGCTTCATTTTGCTCACATGATAATATTGGACACCCGGTGAAGTATACTGATGACAGTCTTATAGGACGGGATCAAAATTAATTCAGTCCTTGGACTGGATCAAAATTAATTAGCTTTTCTCACGCCGCCATTTTTGGGTGGCTTTTCAGCCGAAGTCTGCGAGATAAGTCCACATAACAGCGATGTTTTATAATTTTTTGGACGAATGATGGTAAATTTGCTTTGTAAATGGAAAGTTTATTTTGAAAAATTGCTCTTCACATTGTTTTAATTGTCTGCATTGGTTAACGAGAATTAGATGCCACCCAAAAACGGTGGATATTCGTCATCGTGAGAAAGGCTAATTCAAAAGTAGTGATTTATTCGTACGAGATGCAATATTTCAAATCCGACGTATTCGTACGAGATGCAATATTTCAAATCCAGGGCCGTAGCTAAGCATGCATAGTTGGGAGGGGGGGGGGTGTAGGCCAAAAATTTCCGAATGACGAAAGAAATTTCCGAATATTTCATGGCATACGAAGTCACGAAGGTGTTTGCTATCCGGAAAATGAAAACGCAATTTACAAACAAAAATACAATTTACAAACAATAATAATTTTACGCACAGACATATTACAGAAGCATGCAGTTCCGTAGGAAGTTCTTTTTGATAAGGGGGTGGCGAGGGCCGAAGGCCCAAGGAAATTTTTAAATTTAGAGTCTCTGAAATGCCATTTCGTGGACTTTGGGGGAAGTTTTGACAGAATTCTGATGGTAACTAAATGGGCAAAGGCGTATATGGGTAATATGATTCTTTGCGGTTTGTCATGGGTAATGTAGCCGCTTAAAATTAATCAATTGTCAGTATTTTAAAGTAATAAACCGAAAAACATTTATCGATCTACGATTTGTTAAATGTTATCCCTGTAAATGCCGTGATTTTGTCAATCAGTTTATGATACTGACAATACAATTTTATAATATTTTCTCTGTTTAATTAAACAACTAAAATTTTGTTATACTATTCCTGCCGTAATTTTCCGAATGACCAACCTGATTTTCCGAATATGTTAATTCTAAAAAAGTGTGGGGGGGGGGGTGAACCACCCCCCCAATACCCCCCTTCGCTACGGCCCTGGGGCCACCGTAAAATAATCTATATTCGATGCAACTAATTGTAGAAGAGTTTTATAGATGGAAATTTCCAGTGGAATTTTTATACATTTATTACACCTAACCAGGAACAGTTGTGAAAAATGCAACTATCCGGAACCTCTGCCAAAAATCGAAGCTGCGATCCAGCAATTCCGGTGCATCGCTCGAACTAAAGAGGCCAGTTAATTGTCGAGCTCCAAACGCAAGTTCATGTATAGATATATGCTAAGGTGATGCCAAATAACACTTTGCTGGCAATCCACCCATAAATTTTCTAAGCAACTGTTCTTTCTCTTCCTCCGCTATCAGCTTCCAGTTTATGATTTGTTGAGCGAGTATATATTTGTCCCACAGGGGTATATATTTACACCATACATAAATATAGATTACAAATAAGTATACATCCAGTTTGTTTTAATAAATTTCCTATTGATAGCATGCATATACTGGGTGGGTTCTACTCTAGAAAGTGGAGCACATGTCAAAAGGAAAGACTGATTTACTCTATACTCACACGGCTTGGCTTGCATGTGTTTGGTAAATGTATACACATTTAATTAATAGACAATGGCAAGAAATTTTTTTATTGTCTCATTTGAAATAAGGTTTAAAATTATCTACAAAATATTCTTACAGAATTGTCGTATCAAGCTGAACTCTTGAATATTTTGACTGAAAGCAATGAGCTTTCTGCCATCTTGGATTAATTCTTAACTATCGTTCAGGAGTGGGCTTAGCTTTATAAAATTACTTCAAAAGTTGTTTAATTAAAATGTTTTTATCCAGTTCGAAATTTGAAATAGCAAGAATCATGCAAGACATGAAAAATCTTTAAGAGGATTCCGAAGATGATTTTAAAGGTTCTTTCCAATGAGACAATAAGAAATTGTTGCCGAAACTACAGTATAAAGAAATTATAAAGCCTGATTTATAAATCAACTGAACGGTTTATATAAATCAGATTTATGAACCAGACTTTGCTGTGGAACTGAACTGAACTACACGACTGTAGAACAGTGGTGTAGAACTGAAACGATAACAAGGGGGCTCTTAACTTCAAATGGACTTAACTTCCAATAAAAGATTCTGATATACCGAAGCTATTTCATGTTGTAGCCATATACATGACCTGATAGTATGCTCATAGTAATCAAGTACAGATTACTAACATAATTACCGCATCATTTCAACACTACATTTGCAAAGAATTTTCCAGGTTATAAATATGCAATCTGCAAAAATATTGGGAGGTCAGCCCCCAAGCCCGGCATGAAATTTTTGACAAGGGGGCTCAGTCCCCCCCCCCCCCCTTGAGCTTCTAACAAGGGGGTTGAACCCCCTGTTCTACATCCCTGGTTTACACTAACAAAGTTTCTGTGATCACAGTAGGAATTTTACATGGGCAAATTCTAAGTTTTGAAGGATTTGTAAGAAATGTTTGAGGGAACGGACTCGGTGTTTAACACTAAGCTAGTTCCCTCAAACATTTCTTGCAAATCTTTTAATTACCGACACAAAATTCCTACTATGATCACAGAAACTTTGGTAGTGTAAACCAGGTTTAATCGTGGGAAATTATACATTTGAAGCAGATGCCTTGGATACGATGTTGAAAGGCACGCGGGCGTCAGATGAGAAACTAATATTCAACAAATGCTGGCCTAATCCCACCCATAAGTGATACGTGCATGTCAATGTATTTGAAGCTGATTATATCTATCCCCATAGAGAACTGACTGAAACCCATTTATAGCATATTGAGCTACAATCCTGGCAAAAAGTATGTGGACACCTAACTTTTCTAACGCCAATATTAACATTGAGACGTTTTTTCATGAAATTTGTCGCCCCCCTGTCCCCTATTCAATGGCGTTTAAATTTTAAAAGTTTCATTTACCAACATTGAATTGGGGGTAGGAGGGTAAAAATTTATGGGGGATTAATTCTGTAGAAATACATCTATTTTTGTTTGACGCACGCGGTGTCCACGATAATTTTTGCCAGGATTGTAGCTACCCCCAATTACGATTTGGCCAGATACGAAATGATGCTGACCATTTATGTGGTGTGCAATCGACCGATTAGTTTTGCTTACTATATGAATACCATGTTTCGTTATGGTTGTCAAGTTTATACCAGGCTACGCTGCTGGCCTTTTAGCGACAGGCTCATGTCGTTGTCATGGTAACATGTCGTCATGTGTCGTCATAACTTGGACTCCTCCAGCTCTTCAGCGTAGAGCGTGGCGTAGAGAATTTCAAGATCTCCATTGCGGATATGTCGACATCGCTTTTCAAACAGCTGAACTAATTCTTCGACACTCTAAAGGGGAAAGTAAAAGACAATGTATCAACCGGTGTTATCAGTTACGACAATGTCGATACAATGGAAGTGTTGATAAAATATTGCATGAATTCATTTCCTCAAGTTGATCAATTCATACGAATTCAAATTTCTTTTTACTTCCTGTGCGTTTCCTATTGGTCAATCGGTTCTGAAACGAAATCTAATTGGCGCATCTAAAAGTTACAGGAAGTTGATCAATTTTCTATCAAATGAATTGATCAACTTCAGGAAAGGAATTGATGCAATATTTTATCAACACTTCCATTGCATCGACAGTAAGAGAAAAAGTATATCACAATAATTCAGAGTGGTGCAACATGGAATGCTGAGAATTCTAATCCTTGCAGTTATTTTAACTTTTAAATATCAAAATTTTGGACATCTCGCTCGAATGACAAACAAATCCAACCAAATCAACCCAAAAATTTCTCTACTTTTTGTTTGACGTCTTCCAACTGCTCGACGAGCTTATCATGACTTTCCATCAATTGTTTCATCTCTTTGTCATGAAATTCGTTTGCCTGAAAATGACGGAGTTATATCACAACTTTAATACTCAATCAAATGAGGATGACAATTTCTCTTGCGAGGCTGAGAGTTAATAAGAGTTGCAAATCTCACTCGCATTTGCATGACGGCCAACTCTATGATCGATTCTAAACTCTCATCAACTTTGAGCTGCAGGTTCGATTTTGATGAGAGGCGATGAGAGTTAACAAGAGTTTTCGTTCGTTTAACTGGTAATATCCAGTCAACTCACATGCAACTCTTGTTCGCGTTTGACCAGGACATGAAAGTTGAGAAAACTCTCGCGGAAACTATTCCTAGTTTGCCATCTCTTATCAATTCTCATTATAGTGTAGCCCGCTCGCAGACGTATTTCTTACGCCAAGCGACGAAAAACTAAATTAGTTCTTTGTCGCTTGGCGTAAGAAATACAACGTCTGCGAGCAGGCTATCATTAGTGAAGATATGTATTGAAACAATACTAAATCGGCCATCTTGACAAGGCCACGTAAGCCACCATTTTCTGAACATGAACTAAAAATAAAACAATACATCAGACC